GAATGGTACCCAAGGCAAGAAGTTCTTAAGAGCATTAGAGAATGTGACAGCAGCACTTTTTGGTATGGTATATTGTACATAATTAACTTTAGCGTATACAATAACATACTTTTGTATTTACAGATGCTTTAAGTACAGATGGTAAGCCGGAACAAGTGATCGAGTCGAGTCTGGAAATCTCTTCAAGGTGTTAGTAACAATTTCCAGAAAAATATTCATCTATATAAGTATGTTACATTTTTTTATGTAAATATTAATATTTTAATTGTATAAAACATAAATATAAAATATAATTTATTCAAAAAAATTTATAGTATTTTATTTAAAAATCAATAGCATAGGTAAAATTGAAAATTTAAGCGAACATATCAGCGCTGATATGTTGCATTACAAATTCGAAAAGGTAAGCTAACATGTCAGCGCTGATATGTTGCATTACAAATTCGAAAAAGTAAGCGAACATGTCAGCGCTGATATGTTGCATTACAAATTCGAAAAGGTAAGCGAGCATGTCAGCGCTGAAATGTTGCATTACAAATTTGAAAAGGTAATCGAACATTTCAGCGCTTGCCCGCAATGACATGCACGTGTTAAAGTAATTAGGAGTTTCATTTGAATAATCAGCGCTAGGCATTACCATTCAGCGCTGAGGGAATCGATTCCCTCAGCGCTGAAAGTCCCGCTGGGAACACGTATAGGCAAGCGGACGGACAAGCGGACAAACTAAACAAGAATGGTTTGCTGTAAAGCAAACACATTACTCAGCATCTCAACGACCTTGTAAAATAACAAAAGACTTTTCTTTGCACATTTTTTATTATTAAAACAATGCTTTTGAGAGGAGAAAACACTTATGCCTTTTGAAACTTTTTAAGCAAGGCTCTTGTATAACAACACCAATGGTAGTTATGTTACCCCCTTTAAGAAACTGTATATAGAATTTGTTTAATTTGGCTACCGAAAGAGTTGTGTATGTATATAATCGTATGTATAGGTATGTGTGTATGTATATTGTATGTTTGTTGCTAATGTGCACTATATTTGGTTTGTTGTCATTTTATTTGTACTCATTTGTTCTTTATTACTATTTCTTTTTCATTCTTTAAGCTGTATATACATACATATATATTTTGTTTATTAAAGAAATTTGTTGTTGTTGTCTTAATTACACATGTGCCCTAATTTTATAAAGCCTCTTTAAGGTATTTTAAGTACCTTATACCTGTTTTTATGTCTGATATAATGTACAATATTTAAATATTTATAACAGCAGCAATAGCAATAGCAATAGCAACAGCAACAGCAACAGTAACAGAAAACTTCTTAACATTCAGAAGCTGTGCTCAGAACAAAATAGCAAAGAAACAATAACAACAACTCCAAGTTACTTTATCTCTATAGCCCAGAGGAAAAGAAAATAGCAGGTTATACGGAAAAAAATACCACACGTGTTGACAGTTGCAATTGTACAATGTATGTGTATATAAGTGTGTGCTGCCAACACAGTTAGCAGGGCACATGTGTTTGTTATCTGCCAAAAATTATTCATCTTTCTTCTTGTGTTTATTTGCATTTATTTACTTTTTTGCTTTACTTCTTGTATTTGTTGTTTTATTTCTTTTACACCGACGTTTGCTGCATGTTTCAGTACTCGTAGTACAAAGCTTTTAAGGTTCATTTACAAAATTATAAATTAATTATTCGAGTATCTTAATTCGAATATTCATTTACTTATTTATGAATTTAATTATGAAAGTTTTAATTGCTGCGCATATGTGCGCCAAAAATGATAAATTATTTATGATTTCTTCATGCTAAATTTAATATTAGGTTATTTTTATTTGTATGTTAAATATTTTTATTTATGTGGTTTTCGTTTTAAATATTCAAGAAATATTATGTTAAAGCATAAGTAATATAAATTTAGTAAAATATTTAAATGTTACTTTTGCAATTAAATTTTAATATAATTAGTTGAAATAATAAATATTTTATATTAGACTAGATGACTCATGCCACACTTAAGTAAAATTAAGGACTAAAATTAGTTTTTATAAGAGTTTTCGAACAGTTAACTGCATTTAGTGAATAAAAATTGTACTAAAGAACTGTCGACTAATTTTTTAGTTATTAATTTTCTTCTGGAAATAGGTTTTTAAGGAAGTTTCTTTAAAGGTATACACAGTTTCTCTAGGTGTGCTCCAAAACGAATAGGAACCCATAAACTGTTTTACATTCGATTACTTTTTAGTAATTAGTTTTATTTTGGAAAAAGATTTTAGGAAAGTTTCTTTAAAGAAATGTGTAGCTTCTCTATGTGTGCTCCTATACCAATATGAGCCAATACCAATATATTTTATATATTTAGTACTTTCTTCAAAAAAAAAAAAACAACATAAGATCCTTGCCAAAAAACTATGCACACATACACCTACACATGCCATACATATACATATGTACGAATGAAGTAAAGTGACATGCAAAATATGTGACACTGCTTTTGAATGATAACGTTTTTTTATTGCTCTTAGTTCTATGTTCTGATTTTTGCTATTTTTATGGCAAAAGCTTGAATTCCAATAAATCAAAAAAAAAATATATAAATATGTACATATATATTTATAATGTAATATGTTAATACGCATTCGATTATCAGCTTTCATAAATAAACAAAAAAAAACAGTAAATAAAATTTTTGTTTTTTAACTTTTTTCGAATCGATAAAGCCAAAAATTGTTAACCTACTTTTTTCTTCAAAATTCTATAAAACAAACAAAACAAATAATTTAACTATAACAGCAACAACAAAAACGACAAATTCAAAAACCAAAAACAAAAAAAAACCAATTCGATAAAAACAAGTGCAATTGAGAATTGTTTTGCTCTTTACATTTTCTTCTATTATAGAAATAGTATGTAAATATGATATGTAAACAATATATATAATTTTATTTTTGATTGTACAAAATATTGATACTTCCATATTTTATTACATACGCAACTTATTGCTGAGTTGACAGTTTTTGACATGTAGGGAATTTGATGTTTTATAACAAATCATAATAAAAAAAAATATAAATTTGAATTATTAAATGAAATACTATTCAATACATGCAGGCTTAACTCTATAGCCTTAACAAAATATATGCAGATTTTATTGTAAAACATTTGCTTTCCAAAGTAAACCGTTTAATCTTAAACGATTTGGAGAATATATTTATATTTACACTGGAATCCACATACATTTTATTTAACTCTAAACATAAATGCAAGCATATATATACATATATACATATATATAAATATCTATTTATATACATTTATATGTATATATCTTCACCTATATATATATAATGGCAACCAGCAATTTTACACACTCTGACGAGGACTTCACACTCTCACTCTCTTAACAACAATTCGTCAATATTGCAATGATTTTAACCCTCAAAGCCGTACAAGGACTCATTCACACTGTAAAATACACTCAAATATTATTACTACTATGTATTTAACACTTCCCACATTCCTACCACCCACAGTAACAACATACCACACTAAACAGTAACAACAACAACAAATTACAGAGCACACAATCAAACGAACATGCACACAGTCCACAGCGTCAAAGGATAAAGCTATCGTTATAGAACAGAGTTATTTTTAACAGGAATGCATTTTCTTAACACACACACATACATATATAGATACAAGCAAACACTGATACACTAGAAAAAAAGCTTTCTTTAAAACAACATCATGTGTAAAATTCTGTAAAAGCAACAACACAACGAAGAAAAGCTTTCATTGTGTAGTGTATGTAGGATAAAAATAAAATGTCGAGCAGCAGGCCAAGCAGCTGAAGAGCTGCAGCAACAACAACAAAAACAGAATAGCAACGAAATCATCTACGACAGACATCAGCAAAACCGACAACAACTGGCTGAGGCAATTGATTTTAACTTTTGAAGGTTTATTTCAGTTACCTCGCCACCTTCAATACCTTCGGATGTTTAAGAATTTTGCGGATTCATTTAAATAAAAAAAGAAATAAGTGCGTTAATATTTACATATGTGTACGTCAGTAATAACACAATAATAATATAAGTGATTTAATTAAACATAACATCAATTCAATAAAAAATTAAATATGTTCTACATTTAACATATAGATTTTTAAAAAATTAGAAAATTTAAACTATTTGCCGTTCGTTAGTGTAAATAACGGTTAAATCGGCTTTTATACATATTACAAAAAAATCTGCAATAAATGGTAAGCAAGCTGACCGTACGCAATTGATGAATATTGCTCGTTTTGTTGATAACGTCATATAAAGCCCATGATAACAACAACAACAACAGCAACAGTATCGTATTGAGTAAAGTTTTGTGTGTCTGTACATTTTTGACGTATTTCTGCTCATTTTTTGTTTGTTGTACCTTTGGTCTTATTTTTACGACATATTTGACACTAACAAGTGCACCTTTTCTTATTTAAGCCAAAAACGAAAAAAAAGTATTTAAAAAAACCAAAAAAAAAGCATAAAACAAAATAAACAAAAAAACCGAACGAATTGCCATCTCGTTTCGTATTTCGTGTTCTGTTGTTGTTTTTTTTTTCTGTGCTTTATATTTGATTTGATTTTTTATCATTTTGGTAGTAGTTCACTTGGCTGAGGCAGTTGCTTTGCGTTTGGCCTAAAGTGCGGTTGTCATTACGTGTTTGCGCTATTTGCGGTTCTACCAAAATCGAAAAAATATTTATAAAATAATTTTAGTGTTTTTTTTATAGCTGACTTAGTCGTTCCGTCGTCAATTCAGTCAGCTGTTTTGTGTTTTTTGTTATTCTATTGTATTTTTCATTGATTTCGCCTCTTGCGCTACTAACATAAAGGAAGGAAACGTTAAAGCGGCCATTTTAAAGTTTAATAGTTGTTTTTAAAATAGCCTTAAAAAATGAATTTGTGAATTGATTTCCTTTGTTGTTTACGTGAAAAACTAAGGCAAGTGTAGTGAAATAAAAAAAAAATTTTTGAGTAAAATATATTAATATTGTATGAATATTTTTAATTGTGGTATCGTTTATTTCTTTTTTTTTAAATAAACAAATTTTTCACTTAAAAACACAAGAACAAAAAAAACGCTGGCATGGCAGTTTCGAATTATGCAATTATACGGAATAAGGTTTTCAATGTCATTATGTTTATTTAAGTAAAAATAAATGTCAGAAATAATGTTTCAATTTACTTGAAAATTTATTTTAGTATTACTAGATTTTCAAGAAAAATATATACGAAGTTGATGAGATATTTATTTTTTGTCAATGTTTCCTATTAAAAACATTTAAAAATTAATTAACACCTTCAGCATGTCGTACAGAAATTTAATTAAAATTTTTTAACGCTTCGTAAATATATTTATATTTTTATGGTGTATTTCTAGAATTAACTTCAACAATAATCTTATTTCCAATTCAAATCAATAAATAAATATCAAACCAATTTTTTCAGTGATTGCATTTAAGCTAAGATTCATTATTTGAACTTTATCTATTTCTTCAACATTAAATTACTTTTTTAAACAATAATTATTTTTTAAGTAATTAATGTTCTCATTTTATTTATTTATCCTGTTTATTTAATCTAGTTAATTAGTTAATAGAAAGATACTAAAGATGTAGACAAGCTACTTCCCACTTATTTAAGATATTATCGTGCATATTATTTCTTAATAAATATTAGTTATTTAATAGTTTACTATAAACTGTTAAAGTTTAGTGAATGAGCTTAACCCTAACCCTAATTAAATTAATTGTGGGGAAATTAAAAATTTAATTAATTTTAGGGAAAATACAAAACTATTAAAAATTATTTATAAAAAATAATTTATATGCATTCATTTATTAAATGCTAATAATTTATTAAACAAATATATTAATAAATCATTTTTAAAATTTTCTATTGATATTCTTATAAAATAAATTAAAAATGTTGACTTCAGAATTTCTAAAGTAACTAATCAATTTAGTGATCTGAATTTATTTTAATCAAATATTTTTTTTAGACCAATTAAAGAAATTAATAAATAAATATAAAGAATAAATTTAGACAAAAATAAAAAATGGCTTACTTACATAACATTATAGAAGTTGTCTAATAATCAACTATAAGTTTTATTAAAATGTGATTTTAAAAAGATTTACTTTCATAATAAAAAAATTTTTTTAAAAGTAATGCATATTTCTACATATAATATTTATACTTTCAACTTATTCTTCTCATTTTTGAAAAGGGCTAATTGATCCATTGTTCAAACAATACACAACTTGTTAAGTTATTTTTAAAAATTATATTTTGTTTAAATATAAATAATAAATCAGAAATCTAATAATTCCATCCTAAGAGTACAATATTCTATACTATTTATTTTGGAACTGAATGACGTATTAGACGGTGACCCAATTTAACTATAACTAGCTTCACATTGTTGTAGCTATCTTACTAAACCCAAAACTACGTCCATATATCATCTATTGGTTATTGGTCTTATTATTTATAGGCCCGTTTAGCTTTTAGAAAAAATTTTATCCATGATAGAATTCATACTTATTAGTATACTCCTTCTAGGTTTAAATTTTTCCAATCAAACATGTGAACTATAGCACATTTTATTAAAACTGATAGTGTTCTGTTACATATTTGGCGTTTCCACATTTAAGTATAGCTTAAATGGTTAAAGATAGATACTTCTAACACCTCAATATGTCTGTTGTGTGTCGAACCATAGGAATTCATAACAAAAGTGACAAAACAACCATTAAACAAATAGTCAAGCAAATTCCGAAAAAGACAACAATGTTCTACACTCATTTTAATAATTCATAGGTTTTATCACCCGATTGAACCCCACAGGTCAATTATAAAAACTATCAAAGTGTTAATGTGCTAAAGAAGTCCTCTTTCATAAATGGGTAAATATTTCAATATTTGATTTTCGTACAAGGTGCGATTTGTTGGTCTACCTACTCAGAGTTATAGTTCGCGCTAATGAGTACCATATCGGAATTTTAAACAAAATTGAAAATATCTACAAAACAATTTTTCAACTTTTTTCACTGCTTCAATAAAATTCAAAACCAATAAAATCTATATTATGAAATATTAAATATTTTAAAATAGTTAAAAAAAAAGTAAAAATTTTATTTAAATATAATAATGAAAATTAATTAATTTCAGTAAAAAATTTATTTCTCTATTGGTTATGGGCTATTAGATCATTATATATATAAATTAAAATTTTTTGCTGAATTTCATTTTTATAAATTTATTTTTATATTTATTTTTCCGTCCAATTTACTAAAAACTGTAAAAATTATAAATATAAACAAATAACATATTATATTTTAATCTCTGTGATTTACAAATATTTTTTATGTGTCAGTAGACCCCATATCTTTTCCTAAATTTTTTTTTTTGTATTTTGTAATTTATTACATTCAGAAATACAAATTTTTAATTATCTATTGCCCTATTATATGAACTACAATAAATACTGATAATCTCCATTTATACAAAAAATAACAAAATTTTATAATCGAAAGTGATTAAAAATGATTTATAATATTAATTTTACTTTTATAACATCAGAATTAATATTTAAGTTGTAATAATTATACAACAAAACATGCAACATAAATTATTTTTATATCAATTACATTATAAATATATCCAATAACATATGTTAATAGTATTTTAATACATTAAACCTTCCGGTTATTTTAGAGACTATCTCATAAAAACTTCCTCCACTTAATTTAAATTATATATAATTAATTAATAAAGATGTTTAAGTTTACGTGCTTGTTGTTACTAACTATTTAATTATATTTATGATTTCAAAAATATTTTAATATAATAATATTAGTATGGTTGGTACTTATACATTATGTTGGCATAAAATTAGTTACTAAAAGTTAAAGGTTATACCAAATAATTGTATTACAGGAGAATATTAGCATCGTAATTATAACTCAACTTAATTTTAAACTAAATTCAAATTTTAACTGGTTTTTATAATTAATAGTTGATAGTATATCCAAAAAAATTTTATTAAATAAAAGACTTGAGATTAAATTCAGACTAGTAATGACAAAGAATGTGTGAAAATATTTGACCTAAAATACGTTCACGATCATAGTGACCCATTTTCATAAAAGAAGTTATGAATAAATAAAAAAATTGAAATTAAAAAATAAAACCAGTATACAAAATATAGACTGTACAAGAGGCAGAGAATAAATTATCAGAAAAATATAGTAGAACACATATTTAATATCTTCCATTTGTTTAGAAATTTCCTTTATAGATTTTTAAATACAATGCTTGTGAATTATTCCTTTGAATTAATCAATGAATTTATTTTAAGGATAAACTGAAATCGTGAACGTCTTTCAGATATCTACATATCTACAGATATTAGAAAATATTAGAAAATATACTTATTGTATTCTAGTTTATTTTAAATGGTATGCGATATTCTTGCTACTCATATATTAAAATAAAATCGCATTCTTCCACTATAATATCAAAACTGTACAAGAAACGTAGCAGTCATCTGCTTCTACTGAACCAAAATCTGCTCAGCACTACGCTATCGGTACTGACTGATCACTACGTACTAGGAAAACATGTTATTAGACTGGGCCTCCTCTATAATAACTTTTGTCGTGGTTGTAGCTCTGTGAATATTGTACTCCACCTTATGTATCAGTGTCCATCATTCGCTAGGAGATGATTTAAAATATTTTGGGTCCTGCCTCTTTTCTTACCGATAGAGTTATCATCTTAAAAAATTATGAACTTATCCAAGTTTATAGACTTGTCAGATTGATTTACTTTCACTAAAATGGAAGAGTTGTGACTTTAAAAAGGGGCGCACATTACATTTTGGGAGTTTTACATTTAATGTAAAACAGTATATCCTTTGTTGTATCACAATAGGACATTATTTATACTCAACTGTGCTTTGGTGCACAAGGCTGCCACTTCAACCTAACCAAACCTAAGCTATTGTACAGCACAGTACTTTATTCCCTAAAGTACGTTTTAATTTTAATTTTAAGTATTAATAAAGTTAATAAACAGAAATAAAATAAAATAAAACTTAAAAAAAATTGAAAAAAATAAATTAAAGATTTCGAATATTTCGCTTTATTTTAAAAGCATTTCCATTGTCAGTTTTATTTATTTTACTAAAAGATGTTGGGGATTTGTT